CCCCGCCCCAAATGTACTCGTTCTTTAAATGACAATAAATGCGGTGCTTATTGATTTGCAAACAAGATTAATGGTTAAAATTAAGAAATATTAATGTTTATTGACTTACAAAGAAGATTAACGGTTTAAATTAAAATATTAAATTAAATGAATGAATCTGAAAAAAGAAACAAATTCAATAAATTGTAGGAAGTTAAAAAGTATGTTTTTATGGGGGTACATATTATATTATTCCTAACTGGTAACACGACTCGGAGTTTCAGGAACAACGCAGTCTTCAAGAGATGAATAGAGACTAACCGTTGCATAATTAAAATATTAATAAAAAAAAAATCTGGTTAACACAACGCTGGCACAGTAGATTACATTTTTTTTTAATGTATATAGTATTGGATTCAAAATAGACGGTTTATATTTTATATTTAAAATAAACGGGGATTAATGTTTTTATTTTATTTTATATTTAAAATAAACTGGATCAGTGGTGTGGTTTAGAAACGGTATAAAAGCGTATTAAGGCATTAAAAACTAGATATATATATAAGTTTAAATAAAACATACCAGTCGACCGGTTTCGTCCCCTCTCGTCATATATTTAGATTATGAGGAAAAAAAAAAAAAAAAAAAAAAAGTCTGTCATGGGTGATATGAATGAATGGACAAGGAAGGAAGATAAAATTATACCAACCAAGCTGCTAGAAGCGCAGAACAGCAAGTCCAAATATAAACAATCTTTTGTTTGCAAAGAGAAGGCCATTGGACCTGATGTTTCCAACACCTTTGAGATGGAAAAACTGGCCAAGACGGAAAAACCAGTTCACACTGAACCATCGCATCCGGACTTTAAAAATGATCCGCAATGGAAGACCCATAAGTCACGAATGGTATCGCCCAAAGAAAATTTTTTTTTTACTTATCGAATAATTCTCTTTCCAACCGCTGTGTCGTTCTACCTATGTAGTCGCATCCACAACTACATTTGAAATAGTAAATAACAGAGTTAATATGGTGGGGGTACATCTTTACATAGATGGAAGTAAAAAAAACACGAACGTTCGCTGCAAAATAACACTGATACATGAAATACGCTTGGCGAAGGATTCACTAATCCTACCCAACCACGTAAACGGATAAACATTTACCAACTGAAGCAGGTTTGATTTTTGTTGAACCTAGCGGTCTCATCTCGAATAACCAGTTGAACAATGTTCAACGGATAACCATTGTTCAAAAGATCTCAGTTAAACAACTGATTTCATGTTTCAAGGTGTCATCCGAACAGATTCATTAACGCCCTATGTGTCAGGGTCCTAATCAAATTAATCTTTTGTTGTTTAGGACAAAAGGAGTCCCAACAGGTATATAGTCCTGTAAAAGTAGACTTCCTGTACACAGAGGTAATAAACAAGGAAGGAGTTCTTTGAACAAGAACATCTAAAAGACAATGAACCATTGACCTCCTTATCTACTATGTAAATTTAAAGGAGGATGAACACCATTGAGTAGGGAAAAAAATTGATCCACTTCCGATTCATGGCTGAACACACAAAAGTGTGAACATACCGAAAGTAAACCTAAAGGGCAGAACTTAACAAAAAGCTTTCTTCATAAAACCCACAAAAAATATTTGCCAAAACAGGACCCAAAGGGGAACCTATCACACCATCGATCTGACGATACATGATATTGTCACCCATGACAGACTTTTTTTTTTTTCTTTTTTCCTCATAATCTAAATTCCCCGTTAACAGTTCTGACGAGAGGGACGAAACCAAATTTTAAACTTATCATGGCCTGCAATACAACATTTCTAGTTTTTAATGCCTTAATATATATATATATATATATATATATATATATATATATATATATATATCAAATATGTTCAGTTCAATTTAATTATTTTGTTTTCGGTAAAATTCTTGTAGCATCCGAGACGAAAAAATATAATTTCCAAGCTTGAAGATGACTGAATATACAGTCGAAAATACTCGTGTATTTAAGAAAGACTTTATACAACTTATAATTAAAAAAAAAACAAGAACAATGATCATTCCTCAAGGATACATGGCAGTGGATAAAGGCGTTAGTTAGATACAATGACAGGACCCAAAGAGTCTGAGTTCAATACCTAGTTAAGGCAGTGGAGAACTTGGAGTGGAGAATTAACAGGAGATAACTGATAACTGACATCCATTAGACATGGCACGTGGAACTAGAACAGTCTACTCCAGTGAGCGAAATAAAGGGTTCAGTTCGACATTCCAACCACCTAAAGAAGGCCGGAGCGTACAACGGCCGAAATGTTGTGATAAATATGGCAACAAAGATGAGGGCAATAGTCCGAATAGTGTAAAATAGACGGGATATATATTTTATATTAAACATGAACTGTTTTTAGTTGTTTTTTTTGTTTTTTTTTTTTTTTTTTTTGTTTTTTTGGGGGTGTGGGGGCGTATTAAATTGTATAAAAATACTGACCTAAAGCTATGAACGATATCTTATATTCACACAAACTTATATATATATATAGAGAGAGAGAGAGCGCATTTGAATTACATGACTTGTCTTTTAACGAATTCTATCATGTTATGTCATGTGAATAAGATTTTAATTAGCTTATTACTTATTGAGATTCAGTTGTAATATAATCTATTTAGAGTAGAATGAAATGAAACCAGTTAAGACGAAAGTAGTTAACAAAGCAAATAACAATAAGTCTCTCTTTATTCTCCGAGTACGCTAAATTAAATATTTGTTCTCTTAATATAAATCTTTCTTTTGACATATATTTTTTGTCTAGTCAGATAATATCAAAAAGGGTTAAATATACTGCTGAATCACACTGGGATTGACTCAATTATCTGTATTAGTTTCATAAAGCAAATATATAAGAGGCCATTTATAATGTGAAAACTGCGCATAAGCGAGTGTGTGCTGCCAGCACCCGTTGAGAAGAGAATGGTAACTATCTACGAGAAACTGCGTGCGCCTCGACTAACGCTGGTGGTGTTAGGGCCTCCGCCAATGAACGAAAAGGAACTGTCTCGAAGACTCTGTGTCGCAGATTCAATATGCTCGCAAGAACAATCGTACCGGGAAATCTATTTTTGACAACGGTTATTCCTTTGGTCTCAGAAAAGCGTTTTATGATGATCATTTCACTGATACGTGTGAAATGATGTGGCAGTGGTAATTGAAAAGTCAAAACAAAGTAGCAAGCCAGGGTTTCAGCTGTGAATTGACTAATATAATCATCTGGTCTCATTTATTATCCAAAAACTGATGGCATTTAAGTGAGCCTTCGAAAGAGTTACTTTAGACAAGTTTGGATATATTTTTCTATAATACATTGCAAGTGGTCTTTTATTCTTTTGGTTTTGTGCCTAACTAACCCTAATATACTGTGCAGTCAACAAAATCAATTATAATTTTCCTATCGCACCCTGTCCGTGTATATATATATATATATATATATATATATATATTCTCCAAATATAATGAGAACAAAAATATATAAATTCTAACGTTTACAGCATTAATTAAAAAAAAAGGGTTCAATACCAAGAGTAGACCAATAACTATTTATTATAATTTTTACATACAAACAAAAACAATTTACTCACTACAATGATGCAACATTGTTTCGGTGCATTTATTTGCACCTCGACCGGTAAGAACCAAAAATGGTTATTCATTTATGCTTATCCAAAAATGGTTAAACATTTCTGGTTCTCACCTGTCGAGGTGCAAATAAATGCACCGAAACAATGTTGCATCTTTGTAGTGAGTATATTGTTTCTCCCACCTCTATCTATCTATCCACTGAAAAATAACTATTGGAACAGCCAAACCGGTTTATAGCTCTTCAATACTAAAAACAGAAACTATTTCTGTAAACATTGGCATTGCAAACTATCTATTATACATATTTTAAAACATCTTTACTACTCATTTCTTAAAAAAAACTTATCCAAACCATACTTAGTTACCTCCCTTTTAAACGATTTCAACGGTCACGCAATGACGCAGCTTTCCTCACTCCATTTTAAGAAGTTTGACTTTCAGAGAACGCAACAATTATTCTCTGACAATAATAAATACTACAATATTTATTTTGAAACAATACCCTGATGATGACATGGATATGTCGGAAGTACTTGGAAAAAAAAAAAAAATGCATCAACACGGCGATTTTCTCCCGTCCTTCAATAATGACACCAAAAAGCTTATCCACAAGTATAAAAGGATCTTCTCGAAAATAAGTAGACAGAACATGTCTAAACTATACAACGAAACATATCTTAATGAAAACAGGCCGCCGAAATATACGTTCATATTTTTAAGAATAGTATTTTTTTGGTTATTGGAATTTATTTAGTATAGACCAATCCTATACTGGATATATATATATATATGACACACACTTATGTTTAAGCCTGAAGTAATTATCAAAATATAATGGAAATAACCGATATTGAATAAAATACCTTTCTCCTCAAGAAATAGTATATTGAAATGTGTATAATATGTATATTGTATTGAAATGTGTAGTGTATGTATATGTATAGTGTATTGAAATGTGTATACGCATACAAAAATAATACATATATATTCAATACATGCTTTTCCGTTTAACCATTACATATTAGCTCACTTTGAACTGATTCCCATTTCAATTCCAGTGATTATAAAAAAAACAAAAACGTTAGGTCGTAGCCAACAAAATCTTGCCTACCCTACAGACAATACCAAGCTTTGTTAATGATTGTTTAAGTACTTTGGTCTATTTCAGAGTAGAAAAACAACATTAATTTTGTTTTTTATTTATAATTTTGATCCTGTTCTACATCATCTTATTGGAAATTTATTAAAAAAAAAAAAGGCAATAAAAATGATAGACTTTGTCGGTTGAATATAACAAAACTCGTTTGTGTGTGTATGCACACACACACTCAAATTTATGAGTCTGTCTTGTTAAGAAACTATTCTTTCGTTAGATCTTAAATCTATCATGTTTTTTTTTTCTTTTCATCTCATCTTTTCTTCATTTTCCTCCTTACATCTTATTCGACCGCCTCCTTGTTTCCTCTCTTTGTTGACTACCCACCTCCTGTTCTGTTTCTGTCTGTGCATCCATGTGCCATCAGGGACATGATGTGGTCTAATTCCGTGTTGAAGCAATCAGGCTATTCACACGAATGAGAACGGCCCCGGCTCACTGCTCTATGGTCCGCAACAAAAGAGAGGAAAGACGCAGTCCAGTCAAGACATTGAAATCGTAGCCAGAATGTGCTGGCTAATTTGCCCAAGAAAGCCAAATAAGTTATTAGTCCTATGGATCCGAACAGGAAATTAGTTTTAGACGCGCATGCGCACGTGGAGGAAGAGAAGAAAAAGGAAATGAACGAACAAGTTAAAGGAAGAGAGAGAGAGATATGAAAAGAAAATGAAATGAAAGAAAACAAAGGATAAAATGACTCCCCGGGTAAATAAAGGAGAAAACGAATAAATATGAAGGAAAGAAGCAAAATAAAACAGGATAGGTGACGGAAAAGGAGAAGTAAATAATAAAGGAGAATAGAATCAATTTTTGGTTATAAGAGAGAAATAGAAATAAAAATAGAGAAAAGATGACGGTGCTGAAAATGAAGGAAAGAAAACAGTAGGGAATGACAAATGTATAAAAAAAGAAAAAGAAAAGTGGATAATTGTTGCAGAAGTAAGAAACAAAATATGAGAAAGAGAATAAGAAATGATCTGTCAGGAAAAAGTTGGTACAAAGGGGAGATAATTGAGTAAACCTACAAACAAAGGAACAGATAAACACGGACGTGAAAAAACGAAAATGATTCCAAACAGAAACTAATAAAAGAAGAATGAAAGTGCAAATAATAAAAATGTAAAGGGATTTGTAAATTTTGAAGAAGTAAATATAGTATGCTTAATGAATGCCGCCAAGTATGAAATGTGGATGAATAGATTGTAAGAACGTGAAAGTTTTGAAGAGATTCCGAAAACTGGCAATTTTGAAGTAATAGACATTTTGAAAGTCTGGAATCTTTTCTTTTTTTTCTTTTTTCTTTTTTTTTTATTTAAACATCTTGATTAAAGGATTACTTACTTATTGATAACTTTTAAGTAACGGATCATATCTTTTAAAGATTGTAGAGTAGATAAAACAAAAAAATAAAAATGACGTTTACCATTTATTCGTCAAGTAATTTATCAGTTCTATGCCTCTTATTAATTTTCTAAAATTCACTCATTATGGGGTGAAATACAGATATAGAAGAGAGTGCTCCACATCTAATGACAGTGCCAACGTATTATTTCTTAATATAAGTTTGTTTTGGCCGGCTATGGCTATTATTTTAATGCGTGTCAGATATCCGACATTGTTGCTTTACTCTTTCTATATTCATCTGTAAATGCTTCTGTGGCTGAGTGGTCTAAAACTAATTTTGTAATATGCTAGTTACTATTACAAAATAGTCGCTTATTACTGACTGCTATGGATTCCATTTCAGTGCTTGAGTCATCGTATTAGCTGGAGATTCGGATGTTGATTATTTTTTTTAAAATTCAGTCATACATTATCCACTAAAAATACTAACTCAACACAGCTTCCTAATTCATCTAGTAGTTACTTTATTCATCAATTTGTAAAAAAAAAAAAAAAAAAAAATTCTATACCTACACATAATGGCCGGCTAGCAAATACCTGCATATGGACATGTGTTTGTTCTTAATCTACAGAGTCCACCTGTGGTTTATGCTGAAACTATGATGAGCGCACCTTAGTGGCAGTTTCTGTGAGAGAGCTCATAATCTGGCATGATCAGAAGTTTGAACGACACCAGTGCACTCAAAGCCTCGGTCACAATGACTTGTGACTTAGTGCTAGCACAGACAGTTCAAGGTTTACTCACAAGGCTTGGGTCAACTCATAGTAGGGCTTCTATGCATTTTCTCCTCATCTAGACGTCACCTTCTTGAAAAAAAAAAAATGAACCATGTTAAAATTTGAACTCAAGTTTTATGGCCAGAAAAGCCAACAGTCTAGCCACTCGGTAAAGCGGCCATTTAACACACACACACACACACACATATATATATATATATATATATATATATATATATATATATATATATATATAATATTTAGAAAGCATATCTTCATTCAAACTCGTTTCATTGAATAATATAGATATATTATGTCTTCTTGATGTTAAATTAAAATTCATCAACGAAGCTGCCATAGTTGTTGTTAACCCAAGTACATTCGATCTCCTCAGATCACCCTCGGGGTGGGGTGGGGGTGAATTGCGAAGACACTTAATGTAACTGTAATCGTAGTGATACTGATTTTTGTAAACGCACACTTTTATAGTTATTTTAAAATTAACCGTTTTAGCTATGGTGTCTTTTGTTGTTGTAAACAAGCATCCACAATATAAGGGAGCTAACTAGATATGGCAAAAATGCAAATTGCATTAAATATTGATCAAATACATTTCAAAAGATTGCTAATATACTCGTAATAAATTTTGTAATAAATATATATTGTGCGAATAGCAATTAGTGTGGATTCCTATGTTCATAAGTGTTGCATCTCCGATAAAGGGTACTCGTCCCCAGAAATATAGCGGATTTTAAACTATATGCATATGTAGCAAAGTTTTCTTCCGATTAAACCGGTCTAGTAGTTTAACTGTTGTAATTAAAAAGCTCGGAATCAAAGATAAAATTAAATTATTAACATTAAATAACTTTTATTTTTCTCTTATGAATGTCCCTGCTCTGAGTTTTGCTGATTCGATTCCACTTTTTAACAGACTTAAGAGTGGAAGATTTTTTTTTAAATATTTTATTTATTATGATATACATATATATCCCAATTATACTTGGCGCAGTGTAAATATCTTGTCTTCATCTTCCACTTTATCTGTTTGTTTCACCAGTGAGTATCATACAAGAATTCCTTCTCTATTTTTTACAATCATTTCTCTACAAGCAATGCCATGAGAGTGCAGTGGTTTACAGGGAGTGAAAAAGAATGAGAAAATTGAAAATGGGGAGGATTGAGGAAAAAGAAAAAAAAAAGGAACAGGCTTCAAGAAGATATAAAATGGCGATTGGCGTTGAATTTAAATTTTTGAAGATTGTAGTAGAACTAACGCACTAATCTATGAATATTTTTTTTTTTTACAAAAATAGAGAAATCGTTTAATATTATAGTTTTTGTTTTTTTAAAGGAAAAAATAACAACAAAAAAAAAACAAGCAAATAATATGTATGATATATGAAAATAAAAGAAAACAATAAGAAAAAAATGAACTTTAAAAAGCCAGAAAATTATGACTGCTTTCCTCATTGGCACTTCTGCTTTATAGAACATAAGCACAAAAAAAAAATATGAAAAATGCTCAGATGGCGACCAATGTGGTTTTCGGATTTTCAGGAAAGAATGCAAAAACCAATGGTTGATCTGAAGTAGATGTTTCGCTGAAACTGAAAATTGCTTTCTCGCTAAAAATGGGTGCGTCTTATTCTCGTTTTGCCTCATCGTATGGCACAAATCGGCAGCCGTACGATATCTGAGCCTGCTTCAAAACATGCGGGGCTTCTAACCAGCGCCATATTGGAAGATACAGGAAGTGTAATTCGCGCCAAACCTAAACTAACCTTTTGTTCGTCGCTATCCCTTGTCGGGCGGTTATTATATCGATCGTCTTCCCCTCGAGTAAACACTGTCTTAACGTGTACAATAGAACAATTAATAATAAAAATAACAATAATAATTTATTATTTATTACTAATAGTCGTGTTAGTAGTAGATAAGATTTATTGAATGATGCAAGCAGCGTGGCATTGTTTTTACGATAGCTAAGTTTGTTCAAAACTAATGACCAAAAATTTGAAGTTTTCTTACTTATCACAACTAGATTTCCATTCTACAGACATACATACCTACACACATAAACCTAGATACATTTACGTGTATAATTAAATGCTGTACCTACGCCATCCCAAAAATATGAGAGAAATATCTACGTAAATTTGTAATTGCATAGTTCTTATAAAATAACAAAACATTATATTTCTTGATATAATCTTGTTTATGCTTAATACTTAATGAATATCACACGAAAGAAACAAAATTGTATTATTAGGCCCGTCCTGGGTAAGACGATAAACTACGTCCAACAGCAAGGCCTTTGATCAGGAGGTTTTGAGGAGCGTGGAACCACCTTTTAATTGCTGGTGTTCTCCGGTCCACCCGGACCTGGGGTGGTAGGACTTGTTAGGGCCCCAGTTATGGGTAAATAGTTAACCCCTAAACTGGGTCAAAACACTATGAAAGTGTAAAAATAGGTATTAATACCAGAAATGCTTTGTAAAAAAAAAATTATTACCAGCAATATATTTTTTAAAAAATGATATTACGAGCTATAAATTTTTGAGGAAAAATATTACCAGAAATATATTTTTGAAAAAAAAATTAAATAACCCATTGTGGTTGATATGCCGTAAACCAAACCAAACCAAATCAACTGTAAAAAAGAGTTACGCATTCACACACATATATATACACGGTGTCCCGAAAAACTGACATCATTTAAAAAGTGAATGTCTGAATAACTACATGTTCCTCCGAAACGAAATTAAATATGCTTCATGTGAACGATAAAAGATTTATTTATCAAAATTCGAACAAGAGATGTAGATTTTATAACCGATTTAACAAAGCTTCACAAATATTCAATATGTGCACCATCTGTAACACAATTCACGTCATGTCGGTTGTCCAACTCCTGCCAAACACGCTGTAGCATGTTTTCGTAACATTCTTCAGCGCCTCAATGATTCTCTGCTTAAGTTCCTCTAGGAAGATGGTGGATATACATCTATCCTTTCACATTGCCCCATAGAAAAATATTACAATGTTTCAAATCAGGTGAAAGTGGTGACCCTTTCTATAGCATATTGTCATTATCACTGGCATGTCCGATCCATCTTCCATGTAGATTCTTATTAAGATGAGTTCACACAGTTAACTTCGCTATGTTATTAGATTACAAAATAACTTAAATTACACTTTGTATAATGTAGATAGATATTAGGCAAGGTGCTCATAAGAATAAACTCGTCATGGTCTGAAGTTCACTCGATCGGTAGTCACAGTCACCATGCGCTGTTGATCGCTATGTTCACACTGTCTTTATCTATAAACGCTCCGATAGTGGCTGAATATTATCCTTCTGATAAATGTGTCAACATTTTAAACAAACATTATCGTATGGTTGGCCTCTCGTTTCTGAGTATCCTTGTCTGATCGGATGGCTAGCTAAACCCCGCTGCACACGCTTGTTCAGGTACACTAATTGTTTTCCATTACCCAGGGCTATACATACACCTATCTATCAGACACACACACACACACACACACACACACACATATATATATATATATATATATATATATATATATATATATATATATATATATATATATATACCTACGTTTTAGTGTGTGGCTTAAGTTTCGCTGGTTTTCCAGCTCATCATATACAAAAGTATATTTTATGTTTTATAAAGATACACAGATTAAGCGAAAATTAAGACGTACACCAAAATGTATGTACACACACACACACACACACACACACATATATATATATATATATATATATATATATATATATATATATAGATAGATAGATACACCTAGTGAGCCAGACAAACCGGTTGTATTGAGCTCTTTTGTTAGTTAGTTGTTACTCGTATCGGGGTTTTTTCTTTGGGCTTCAGACCTGCATCTGTGCGATTTTTTTGTCGGCAGAAGTTCATGTTTGTAGCTCTTTCTTTTTTTTTTAAACCTTTTTTTCCCTCGAGATTGATTTGATTAGCAAATCAAAAATTCGAGGGTTTTTCGAAACGAGTCGTTATATATATATATATATATATATAATCTTTGCTCTGTTTAACCACATTGAGCACTATAATGTTTACTTTAATTTAATGATTATTTATTTGCTTGCTTGTGTATGCACGCCGACACGCGACTATACGGTTGTTTATATCTGGTCATATGATTTACCTAACTCTCTCTCATACATATATATATATATATATATATATATATATATATATATATATAGAGAAGTGGATTTTTTATATACTAATCAAACAGATTTTTATTTTTTACCGTAGTTGCCAAGTTTATTTATTAGACAGTATATTTATTTTCGTCTAACGGTCTGAATATTCGTTTTTAGTAAAATTCACAAAAAATACGTTAAGATTAATATAGGAATGATAGAGATTTGTTGAGTCTATCTTTGTCATGTACAAAGACTCAGAAATGGTTCACCTCGTGAGAACCGAAATTCAAAGTCGAACGAAAGAATGGTGATAGTAGCTGGATAATCCTCTTTCTACGCTAGGCTTTTCCAAAAGACGACATATATTCCGCTGTCCTCTCGTTATTTTTTCTCTCTCAGCAAGTACAAACCAGCGCGCATTATTAGTAGTATTTGATAAGTCTGGCATGAGGCTTCATCGTGAGCCGTTGTCTAAAGTGGCTTGAGGTTACTCGCAGAGACATTGGGTTCGAAGAAGTGAAATGTAAATGGAAACTTAAATATTTGATTCCATCTTGCTGGTGCTAATGCACATTTTTTTTGACGGATACAAACATTTTTAGTAATGTCAGTCTCAAGAATATATAGATACGTCTAAGTATATATTTGCATATTTTTTTATTGAGTGGGAGGCGACTATTGTGTAGTGGGATCAATTTACTATGAATTTACTTAGCTAACTGAACACCACTCTTAGAATTTAGAAAATTTTAAAAAATTGATATTCGTGGTCTTCAGTGCTTATTCGATAGTAATAGGACAAATATTAATCCGAGGATAGATGCGTTTATACATAAACCGCAGTTTGTGTAAGAAATGAGTGCGTGAATGATGTATGCATATTTATACGTAATTTTCAATGTATATCATATTTCTCGTACTTACTTGAAACACATACTTCCTCCGAGATATATATATATATATATATATATATATATATATATATATATATATATATTATATGCGCGGTACTTATTAGAAAGCGTTCAATATCAGTGATAGAGCTAACATATTTAGTTGGATTGGTGCGAGTTTGTGATCCTGGGTTTCCACACTATTTGACGATCGTCAGACAGTTTGTCCCACGGTCACAAACTCGCACCAAAACCCAACTATATATATATATATATATATATATATATATATATATATATTACTACAACACCAGAAATGTTGAAACAAAATAGTTATTTTTGTAGCAATTTTATAAAATATTTGTTATAATTTTCGAAGAAATTTTATTTGCTCAACTCTGTATTGAGCACTCTCCCAAGATTAGTAATTTTTGGTTATTGGAATTTATTCCGTATAGATATAATATTATATATATATATATATATATATATATTGAGCACTTGAACACATATAATAAATGCAGTCGCAGTTGCCAGACGATTGCGTTTAAACATAACATAGACTATCGCCGCTGAGTGTTGACTTCATTATCAACTTTATGTGTGTGTGTGTGTGTTTTATGTATGTGTGCGTGCAAACATTCAGAAAGAAATAAAGTATATCTGTACATACAATATAACATTTTAAAATAGGACAAAAGGAAAGCTTTTCTTTACCGACCCGTTTCGTCCTCTGATGTCATTTGTCAAGGCAAATGACAGCTACTGGACTTGAGAAACAGATTTTCCTGAAATAGCGTGAAACCTAGCGTCACATTTTGAAGAGAAGGATTTTATAAATTTCAACCGACAGCAACTCGGTCAATGAGCCCCAAATTTTTCCTTGTAAGAAAACGCATAATACTACCATTATCATTTAAAACAAGCAGGTAGAAATTATGCAACATGATACATTTAGTTTCAAACCGCCATTTGAGGTCAGTTTTCTTAACTTCTTTTATTATTATTATCGCTATTGTGTAGGGGAGCAAATGAAAATTTACATAGTAAATTAAACCGAACTTTATAATCGATAGAAACATAGAAGAAAATGAAATCAAATCATTGCAATGGTGCATTTCATGTAGAAACACCTATAAACTTATCAAACATTCTTCTATGTGAGCGATCAGGAAGTTGACAATAATGGCCCTCCCTACCCATTGCAACTCTTAGTACGTTTTGTCTTTTCACTATCCCTCTCACTCTGTTTTCTTAGGTAGGTTGATCGCCATATTTCTTAAGTCCTCTTTTCTCCTTATGTGCCCTAGAGATTTAAACTGACTCTTTCTGATTTTCATTTTATTTCTATTTTTCTTAAAACTTACCCGTTACTTCAATTCATGGCATTCTAAACATCCTTCTGTAGAGACACAATTTTGTTGCCTCAATTTCGTACATCTGTGAGGTGATTCACGCAATAAAATACCATGCCTAGTTACCGTCTGTCTATATTGCATCAGTCTGGTCCTCAGCTAGACACATGGGCACCAATTTAAATCAAGAGAGAAAGTTTTTGACTTCGTTCTTACAATTGATCTGTTAGTGTAAATAGTATACTTGCGTATGTTCTTAATCCAGCAAGCATAAACGTATCTCTTCATCGCAATTCGTTGTATTTTAGTGCTTATATATACACAAGGTTCGGTGTGCGTTCATAGCTTCACATTTACGAATCGATTCATAAATATACCTGCGCACACGCGTCCGTTTCCAGGCTGCACGTGTGCGCAAGCGTTTGTACGAGAGGGAAATGATGCCATCTCAAGCAAAAGCCTGCCGATCAAAGAGAGAAAAGGAAGAAGCAAGCGGCGTAGGAGACTATGAAAAGAATCTGAGCGAAGCGAAAACTTAATTTTACGCTCTTGACGCAGGTTGTTTAATCATTTTGATGTTATTTATGGATTAGGAAATTTAGAAACACTTTGAAGAAGCGAAATAACAAAAAACAAAAAGCAGTAAAAACTGTTTTCGATAATTGTCGATAGGGGTGTGCAGTGACCACATATCTCTAAAACCAAATATACAAGGTTATGTTAAAATCCATTATAAATGAATTGCTACCGCTATCTGTTTTTTTTTTTTTTTTTTTTTTAATTTTAATTTTTTTTTTTCCACTCAAATCCTATTTCAAGAAAATTGAGTGATTGAATTAATTTTGATTTGCCGGTTTCTAGTCGGCGACTAAGATGCAAAGAAGCCATTTCCTTTATTGTGAAATTATTATTAAATCTGCGTAATCCACATCATAGAGAAGGTCTGTTCAAGACGGGGAGGTAGGAACGGAGAAGGCGCCGATTGTGTGTGACTGTGTGGTTGTGTGGGTGCTTTTCTGTTGAGGGGGAAATGCATTTGCTTATACGTCAGATTTTAAGATGCAATAAAGAATGCTAGATTCATGCTTTCAAAAAAATGAATTACTTAAACTCATCTTACTACCCAAAAGAATCGATTTACTTTTTTTATTTCAACTATGTCGTTCGTTTTTAAAGGTAATTTCCAAAATAGATACTGACAAAAAGAGTTAGGGACTAAAAGATATTAAATATGTAAATAGCCATGGTCTAATGGATTAAATCATTGGGTTCACTGTGAATAAAGTTGTAAAGTCATATAGTCTTGTCCAATGGAAAAAACAAACAAGGTATACAAAATTGAATAAGACTGTTGTGTCTTAACTGATAAATGTTCCCTAAACATGGAAATTGTAACATGAACGATCTATTAATGTGAATTTAATAAAGTAATTCGGTTCGAAATTCTAAGAACGTTACCACACATGAAGACAAACACCTGAAGAAGGTTGGGGGATGCAATAGCTAAATCGTTGTGAATATAACACGCAAGATAAATATGCTGGTCTGAATATAGCTGGTATTTGAGGATACCCGTCTACTAGAGCGGCTAGCCAATCCCTATTGCAGACGCTCGCTCAGGCGTATTTGTGTTAATTCAACACCCACAGAGCCCACCTGTAGTTTATACTGCAACTATACTGAGCAGACCTCAGTTACAGTTTCTGGGAAAGAGCGCGTTATCTGGCGTAATCAACAATTTGAACAAGACCAGCACGCTCAAACCCTTGGCCATGATGACTTGTGACTTTGTGCTAGCACGAAGTCACAAGTCTTCCGTCTACCCAATTTCACTCACAAGGCTTGGTTCAACTCGTGGTATGGTTTTCCAAAGGTGTCGCATGCTGGGATCGACCCCTTCAGTCCGATAGTCTCCTTCCTGACAAATCAACCATGATGAGATTCGAACCCGGGTTTCATGGTCAGAATGTGAACGTTCTAACCACTCGGCCACTGGTCTGAATAGGAAAACCTACAATGATAAAATATCGAAAGCCTTAAATCAAGGGTCACGAAATCAAGGAGACAAAAGAAACATAACGTGTTGAAAGAGATGCAGCAGTCATGTGACTTAGGTAATAATAGTGATGGTCAGGCTTTGGGAATGTTATGACTATCTAAAAACTGCTGCACGAGCGATTGTCATTAATGAAATCGCTGTGCTGTGGCGAGACAACCAAACTCTACACATTTTCCTTCCAAGCATTGCTATAAGTAACCAAAATGAGATAGAACGTTATGACTTAGTTTGCGCGACCGAGAATGCAACGTAAATCGGAGCCTAGCTGCTTCGCTGTGCCTTCTTTAGACCCGTAATCATAGCATCAGTCCTGATACTTTTTGATCAGATCTCGTACATGTTGTACTAGTAGCGATAACAATAACTAAATTGCTATTTGTACCTTGTATGAATATTTGAACCACTGGCGGTTTTACTAGATGAGATACGACGCTGAATGCTTATGCTTACTAGAAGATAACCTGGTTGGTAATAATAATATTAACTGTTTCCTTACATGGAAACATTCGGCATTCATTGTCCCAGCAATCAGTGCTACTTTCGGTTGAAATTTATAACATTTTTCTATTAAAATTACAATTATTCAAAAAACAAAACAAAACAAACATGTATTTCATCTTCATTGTTATCGCTCTATCCCTTATTGATGGTATTTCCTTTTTGTTTGAAGTAGTGTAGAATGTAAACATCTTGATTGTCATTATTTACTCTTCGAGTTACATTTTAATTGTCGCTGCTGTTGAATAGTTTCAAGTGATGCGGTTTCTGTTGTTTGGTAGAGTTCTTTGTAATTTTGTAGGTTTGTTGAGAGCCCTGACGAAGATAATCTTCTATGACACCTACAAGATTTAAGGCTATCATTGATTGGAAAAATCTTATAGCTTTGGCATTTTCTGAGGTTCGAAGAATGATGATACTCGCTAACACCTTCAGGAGTTACCTAAAGAATATTCGATATGTCTGGTCATGTTATTTTCCCAAGTGACATCTGTATAAATAATTAAGCAGCATAACTTAGTCTGGTACATTGCTACTATAATGGGGCCCCACGAAAGGGTCAAATACAGTAACTAACACTATTATCTTTATTTTTAACTTTTTTTTTACAGCAGGCAACAAACAACTATTGTATTCATTGGAATAATTTTCAATTCCTTTGAAAACATTGTTGTTTCTGAAGCAAATGGCTGTTGAGTCGATCATTGCAGTGCGTTCTGAATTGTTTATGGAAAGATTGCTAAAAATCTCACCTCTCCAAATTTATAAACAGATCTGACAGATACATTAAATATGTAAATAGCCATGGCCTGATGGATAAAACATATTGGGTTCACTGTAAATAAAATTGAAACGTTATACACTCTAGTCTAATGAAAAAGAAAAGACGGACAAGCGAAACCAAAGTGAATAAGGCGGGTGTGTATCAACTGATAGATATTCTGGTTATCGATGACCGCATCAGTCCCGCTTATCGATGACCGCGTCAGTCCTGCTTATCGATGACCGCGTCAGTTTCCCTTATCGATGACCGTGTCAGTTTCCCTTATCGATGACCCTGTCATTTCCGCCCTCCGATGATCCTATCAGTTTCGCTTATCGAGAAGCCTGTCAGTTCCGCCATTCGATGACCCTATCAGTTCCGCCATTCGATGACCCTATCAGTTCCGCCATTCGATGACCCTATCAGTTTCGCTTATCGAGAAGCCTGTCAGTTCCGCCATTCGATGACCCTGTCAGTTCCGCTCATCAGGAACCCTGTCAGTTCCGCCATTCGATGACCCTGTCAGTTCCGCTCATCAGGAACCCTGTCAGTTCCGCCCTTCGATGACCCTGTCAGTTTCGCTTATCGAGAAGCCTCTCGGTTCCACTTATCGGGAACCCTGTCAGTTCCGCCCTTCGATGACCCTGTCAGTTTCGCTTATCGAGAAGCCTCTCAGTTCCGCTTATCGGGAACCCTGTCAGTTCCGCTTATCAGGAACTCTGTCAGTTCCGCCCTTCGATCACCCTGTCAGTTTCGCTTATTGAGAAGCCTGTCAGTTTCGCTTATCGAGAAGCCTATCAGTTTCGCCCTTCGATGACCCTATCAGTTTCGCTTATCGGGAACTCTGTTAGTTCTGCTTATGGATGACCCGTTTAGTTCCGCTTATCAGTTAATTATGGCAACATAATAAATTCATCAATAACTATACTGATATGCAATCCATCTTTTTATCCATGTAAACTCTATTGCTCGTCCATCTATAGATTTAAAACCTACATATCTATTGATAGGTAGCTCGATATTCAATCCGCAGATTTAATCATGTAGATCTATTGATGAAAGACATCTATCTACAATCCATACTTTTAATCATGCAAAACCATTGACAGCAAAATCAATGTCCAATCATTAGCTTTAACCATGTAAAATCTATTGAAATAAATATCGATTTCTATTTCAAAGATATAACCATGCAAATCCATTGATACCGAGATGTGTGCAATCCATTGAATTAACCATGTGAAACCGATTGATAGCAATATTGATCTCAATATATGGATTCAAACATGCAAATTGCATTCAATCCGCATTCAATCCATACATTTGACCATGTAAGTCCATTGCTAGCACAACTGATCTCCAATCCATAGAGTGAACTATGTAAAACCATTGACAGCAGTATCGATCTACTGTCCATAGTCTTAAGAATTTTAAATCTCTTATTTACAGCATCGATCACCAATAGTTTTAACTATGATAATACATTGATGGCTAGTTCGATTTCCAATCCATAGATCTAATCAGGCAAACTTATGTATAATATTGATCTAGAATTCATGTAAATCCATTGATAGCTAAATCGATGTCCAATCCATAGATTTAACCATATAATTCTACTGACGGCAATATTGATCCCCAATCCATAACTTTCGATTAGTAAATCTATCAAGAGTTTATCGATTCAGCTATATATATATATATATATATATATATATATATATATATATATAATGAATAGCAAGACAAATATTCAATCCATAGTTTTAACGATGTGCTGAAAAAATAGTCTGAATAGATAAGTTCTCATAATTTTATTACTCTATGTAGTTTTCTGTATATTATTGTTTAATATTTAGTTAGGTGTGTGTGAAAGGTTGGTTGGTTGATTTTGTTTAGCGCCATATCCTCCTCTATGGGTCGTTTAATACCGTAATTTAAATATTTTGAAAAAATTGCATACCTTCAACTACAGATAAAATATATGGTCGATAATTTTGCTATAAATAGGTATTGTCGATAATTTTGCTATAAATAGGTATTGTCGATAATTTTGCTATAAATCTGTATTGTCGGTATTTTTAACATAAATATGTATTGTCGGTATTATTATTAATAGGTATTGTCGGTATTTTTATTATTAATAGGTATTGTCGGTATTTTTATTATTAATAGGTATTGTCGATATTTTTATTATAAGT